TGTAATTTGAATACCATAATTAGAGTTTGTATGGTGTCATGGAATGTAGAGTCCGAGCCCGAGGAGGAGAGATTCGATGCTCTAGGTGGCGAGGGAGAATTACCAGATTATTGCAGATAAGGTGAGAGAGATAGTTTCTTATTCAGGGAGCTGGTTCTATGAGAACTGGGTTGAGAGTGAGTTGAAGTATGTGCTTGTACTTCCGCCCCCAGTTGAAGCAATATCTTACTGACTGAGTGCAATAGGAGATGGCTTGATGAGTGTGGTATTTCAGTTCCTCAACCCACTCCAAGACAGGCTCATTGCCCAAGTCCCGCACCGTAGTTCTGAAGCTCAATGAGTTTCAAGTTTTAGGATCAAAGTCTGCTGAAGCAGTGAAGGAATCTATCACCGATAAGATATTTAAGATATTCTGATTCCGAAAAAAGAATTAGTATGATAAGAATGTATCAAGGTCCCTCGAAGATCTACTCGTAATGAATTCATTGCTCTTGCAACAAGGCTTACTTGAGTGGTGGTACTATCAACGCTTCCATGAGTTCTTACAACAATTCTCCTACGGACACCGCGGCACCGGCATACCCGAAGGCTATCCCGCATCTCACAGGATGTATATCGACTTAAGCTACCCATCAAATAAATCAGTCTAGGCACGGGAACATTTTTTGCCTTTCTTATCTTTCTATCTTTGAAGGTTTATGCAATTCGGTAGAATTCTGGGCGCGAGTTATATATTTCTTAAGAAAACTAACATGAGTCCAATTCTCCACCACTCTCCAAACCTTTACCCCCCAACTTGACAGATGTGTCAAACGCACATACGTTATGGGGGTGGGGGGGGTTAGCTTCGCTAAGAGACACATCTGTTAAGTTGGGGAGTTTCATTTATTAATAAACGCTTCAGGCAGATTCCTTCTGCCTTCCCCTCCCCCATATATTTCTAAAGAAATATGTAAAAAAGATACCAGAGTGAGAGAGAGCGAGGTGACTAGTCCGGTGCGCTGGGTCGTATCAGCTCCAAACAAAACTGTTACTGGCTAATAGCACCATGGACTACAGTAATCTCGTGCCTACTACAGACATCAGAGCAGTTCCAAGACAAGTACATACAGACTGTTGCATGACAAGGGGACCAAGTTTTCCTGTAATTATGAACTCCCAAATCTGGATTTGTATGGTGAAAGGGGGAGATAATATAGTACGATATCGGTGAGAACTCTGAAATTAAGTCCGCTCATTACTAGTGTCCAGGGTTCTAATCTGGTTACCACAGGTGAGTTTGTGATGACATAGACGAAGAGTTATGAACTTTCAGGAGATATATATCGGAGATGAAAATGCGTTCGAGCGGAGAGAAGGAGGGAGTTAGAATCAAGGGAATGGAACAGGTACCTCAATAAGGCACAGTGGTCTAATGGTAAGACCCTCACTACGTAGAGACCTGCTGACTTCAGGCAGAGGGTGGGTGATCTGGGTTCAATTCCCAGCTGAGCCACTATTCTTTTTTTCGGCCTATTATCTCTTCTCTTATCTTTTCTAGCTTGGGTTTGCCTTAAGTAGAGATCCACTAGAAATCAGGTGCGCCAGACTAGTCAGGTGCAAGTACTCCACTTTTATCAGCTACAAGCAAAACTGTACCGATTAATGCCGCTCTTGCTACAGTGCTACAGACACCCGAACGGTTCCAAGACAAATAGCTACTGTATGGCATGACAAAAATTACCCTGAACTCGTGAAATGCAATCTGAGCACTCAAGTCTGAGTTTGTATGGTGAATTATATTACGATACTGGTACGGTCGACTGCTGTGTAATGGTTTATTGTATGGTTTTGAAGGCATTCTCGAGGCTGGAAATATGGCGCCGAGTCTCGGCCTGCTTACTCGTACAGAATGTCGACTTTCTCATCCTGCTCCTTCTTCGTTTTTACCTGCTGACGCTGTAGCCTGTTGATTTTGTCATCCTTCTCCTCTCGCTTCACTCTCATTTCTAATACTCAAACCCGCTTCAACCGCATCCATTCCCAGCTGATCATAATTCAAGTGCTCTGGGCCCAACAACCTCCAGGGTAGCATCTCTCCTCTACCCCGACTGCTTGGCCAACTGGCTTATTATCTCCCAATTTCCCCCCTCTGTCTCCTTCCCCTTCCCTTTTTTACTCTCCTTCCCCTTCCTTGCCTTTTCCTCTTTCCCCCACTCGAAGACCAACAAAAACACATGCCCAACAGCCTGATTCTCCCTCAAGTCCAACCTAGGGTGCAGAGGGAGTAGCCCAGCGTCATTTATCAAACAAATGTATTTACTAAGGTCGCCGTGGAAAATGCTCCCCGTGTTACGGCTCAAAACTGACCAGTGGCGGAGGACAACCGTTTAATAGGTGGCCTGATGGGCAGCCTGATATGATTTCACTTTTGTAATATATATGCTCGCATGTACCTATATTGTAGAGCTTCGGGGAATATTTTGAGTCTTCTCTCGCACCCGTACGTGTACCAGTTAGGCCCGAGTCAGTGATTGAGACATTCCGCTGGACCCTTTTGATAGAACTGCCTTGATGGCTAGCTCACTCCTAACACCCTGTTGCACGGATACTCAAGTTGAATTTATATCCGGAGCTGGGATGATCGCGGATTTCCGTTAGGAATATATGGAGGGTGTCTGAGAGAAGCCCGAGGTGATGAGAAGGTTAGCCGAGTAAGGGGAGGGCAGGGGTGAACCTATAGGATATTATTAGGTTTGCGGCCTATGAACAGGTGGTGGGCATTGCCGTGTGTGTAGTGGTGATTGACGATCGATGTGATTAGTCCTTGAAGTTCATACTTCGAATCCAGCGATTGTGTAGTCTAGACGTTGTGATGGTGATTATGCCGGCGCTGATCTCGAATTCTCTAGTCGCAATACTGGCAGTTTTGCAATATTGATATGTCTGATACTAGATTCTCGATTGCTGGCGATACTGCGATGCCGCTGCTCCGCTGCTGCTGGTATTCTGTATTTTCAACTACTGACGGCGCGGCTGGTACCACTATTCGGTGATGGTGATCTACAGTAAGTTTTCTGTGCTCCGCTACCACTGTGTCGCCGCGCGTACGCCAGATTCATTCTCGTTCCCGTCACGTTTCTAATAATAACGCCGCTAATATGGATTTGAGGTGTCACGAATACCTGACGTTTGTGAGAGGTGTTACCCTGAGTTTCTGTATGGCAAATAATCCCTCTATTTGGTTGCGAGTATATGTAGGAATACTAAATAGGCGTGACTGTGAAAACAAACGTCGCTGAGGTGAATCGTATCTATTTGGAGAGTGCGGTATATCGATCTAGAATCAGGACTCAAGAAGAGGAAGCTTGAGAGTGCGAGAGTGTATGTACTTGTACTGCTCGAGACATCGCAGTTGCAAGTAGAAAGTATTCTTGTTCTTCCAATTATATAATTCACTGCGACATTAGCTTATGGGTAAGTTTGCCCAATTATTACTATGTAGTATCCTAAAGTGCTTATCCAGCTACCTTAAGAGTTAGCGATGGCATGAACTAAGAGTTTGTGGGGTTTACTACGATATCGACGGGAAGTTTGGAAATATGTCTGCTCAATTATTAGTATCCTGGGGTGCCAGTTCGGCCGCCACGGATTGGGTGGACTAGAAGTTTGTGGGTTTTATTTGATAAGACGGCGTGGGACTCAACAAGGCACAGTGGTCTAATGGTAAGACGCCCGCTATGTAGAGACCTGCTGACTTCAGGCAGAGAGCGGCTGATTTGGGTTCAATTCCCAGCTGAGCCAATATTCTTTTTACTCTATCATCTCTTATTTTTTTCAAAGCTTTGGTTTGCCAAAGCGAATTCGCTGTCCACCAGAACCTGACACTAATGCCGCCATATGCTAAGTAGTCTGGTGCTACAGACATCAATGGGCATGTTACAAAGACAATTGGAACACCAAAATTTAAGCTTGTATGAAATATACTATGATATTAGTGGAAAATCTTGAAAACAAGTTTGGCTGTGGAATATGGCATCGGATGTTGTGGGATAGTCTCGTAGTAGTCTGGTTGCAAGATGGGGGTCAGGGAGGAAGGAGGAAGTCAATATCCCACCTGTTTGAAAGCAAGGAAAGGGAGCAAGTACCTCAAAAAGGCACAGTGGTCTAATGGTAAGACCCCCGCTATGTAGAGACCTGCTGACTTCGGGCAGAGGGTGGGTGATCTGGGTTCAATTCCCAGCTGAGCCAGTATTCTTTTTTGCCTTATCATCTCCTCTTATCTTTTCGGGTTCACTAGTGAGATTTGTAGTCTGCGCGCACACTTTTTCTTTAGAAAACTAAATCACAAACTCTATTGGTCTGGTTGGCTCGACGAGCAGTTTGTTACAATTCTATCAGCTATTAACAAATTGCTATTGGCTAATGCTGCTATGTGCTATAAGAAGTTCATACTGTGAGAGTATGTTACCCTCAACTCCTGGAACGCACCCAAATCTATGTCTGTAGGAAATATGGTACAATACCAGCGGGAACTTTGGAAATCAGGCCTGCTCAATTACTAGTATTCAGGAGTGTGGTCTGGGCGCTACAGGTGAGTTGGAGATGGCATGGGGCTCGGAGTTTGTGTGTTTTACAGTCCGCTGCGATAGGTCTTGATAGTTCATATGCAGAACGCGGCGGCGGGCATAATCGCTCCTCAAACCCAGATAATATAGAGAGTTGATGATAGACTCTCAACTGGTAGGCACGGAGAAGCCGCCTGCAAACTCCCAGTTACCATATAGCTTTGTTTGATGCTTATCCTGTGTTATTGCTGCAACTAGTAAACAGAGGCAGCCTGGTGGCTGCTTCATCAAGACCTTTTGCATGGGATTGTATTAATAAGGCAGTAGATATGTGGCATTGATGTTGTCATTAGTGTGGTTGTCTCGTAGTTGCAGGAGCTGTCACTTGTAGTGGAGGAGTCTCAAACCTCCCACCCGTTGGAATACAAGGCAGGAAAGCTAGTACCTCAAAAGGGCACAGTGGTCTAATGGTAAGACTCCCCACTATGTAGAGACCTGCTCGTTTCACGCAGAGGGTGGGATCTGGGTTCAACTCCCAGCTGAGCCAATATCCGTTTTTTGCAATCATCTCCTCTTATCTTTTTCTTGGGTTTGTGGGTCCAGAGATCGATAATATCTCCCCTGTAAAACCCTAGATTCATGTCTTTTCTCATAGAGGATCGATCAATTTCCATTTCGTTGAAGAGTAAGCAGTTACCAAACCTAGTACACAAACTTCAAACAATACAGTAGTAGCTCATCATCATTCATGGTCTATATTATTATAGAACCCTACTTTAGCAACTATAGTTTCCTCCTCATCTATCAGCAGCGCACATAGCTAAAGATATATCATATACCCCCCTAGCACCCACATATGTATATATTATCCCCAACCCTCTCCCATTCTCCTAATTACCCTCAAACTTAAGTTACCCCTGCACGGAAAGAAACAAAAATGGGTAGACTTCAACCAAATCAAGCATATCGCCTTCCAAATTAACATGCCGTGCTATAAGTAAATGAGCGCAAGAGCGCAAACCAAAATCTTTAAATAAAAAGAAAAAAGAAAAAAAAAAGGGGCGCAGAAAAAGGTAAGTAATATATATTCAACACCAAAGATGATGACCAGAACATGTTTCCGAGTAATTGAAGAGCGAGTAATGTCAGGATATAACCTGGGAAAGGAGAAATCAAGAGGAAATAAAAATACAACAAACCTTCGCCAAACTCTACTTCTAATGATGTGATATATGCGAAGCCGTCCCAAGAGATATTAACGCCAACCACGAACAATCTCCTCGCGTCTCACTCAGTCAACAACCTCCCTAATATTAAACTCTGGACGACCCACTCATCATCCACGATCCTCGGCCTGCCCCACCCCTTCGGCACACCTGTCCAAAGTTTCTCCTTCCCAACCCTCCCACTCCCCGAATCCAAATAAACAAGATCCCATCTTTGGCATGCTAGCTCCGCCCCCACCACTCCATCAATCCCACTATCCTGCACTCCCACTGGCCCATTCACCCCCTCCCTCAACACTGCATTCGCCTCCTCTACACTCACGACACCCCTCACAATTCTGGCCCCCATTGCCCAAACCAAAAACCTATATGGCCTCCTCTTCTCCCCCACTTTCCCCTTCCCCATAACCAACAACACATTATATCCATCAAGTAACTTTCTCCTTTGCTCCACGATCCCCAAAAACTTACTCGTGGCTGCCGAAAATGGTGGTAGTATCCGTGATCGAATGGCCCCAGAGAGGTAAGCCGACTCTCCCGCGGGAAGGAGATACATCTCCCAATCCACTACCATATTCTTCTTGATACAGTCCTCAACCCACCTCCCCGCAAGGCAAGGGATTCCCAGCGCAAGAGCTTGCAAGAATTTGACTCTGCGTGAGTACTTATCCGCAATCACACACGCAAATCCCACTTTGTCCGTCCCATTCCGAACATCCCACCCCAACTCACCGCCAGAGGGACAGTCCCCATCCATACCCTCCCCCTCCTTCTCCGTATCCGATGCAATTGAAGTGGTGATAGAGGCTGCTGTGATGGACTTAGATTTAGCCCCAGGAATCGGCTTGAACATTTCGTCAAACCCCTGTTCCAGAATCCTTCCTCCATTCGCCAAAATCTTTGCTGTAACCCCCTTCTTTTCAAACTCATTCTCCCCATAACTAATGGCGAATATCATCCCTGAAAAGACTCCATCGAGTACTTTTTTCGTATTCGCCCCACTCGGTATTCCGGACAACAATAACTTCGACGAATTTGCCCCTGGAGGAAACAACGGCGAAGCTCTCCTATCCTTCAATGGCGGAGTCTCTGCTGTAGGAACAACAGAAAGCCGGCTCGTAGGACTGTCCACACCTTCCGGGGACCCCACTTCAAAACTGTACAATCGTTCCTTAAACTGTGGCCACAGAGACTTTACCACATAAATCTTCGTGATAGGTACTTCTACCGACTCTCCTACAGTCCCTTCCTCAATATCATCCCTCTTTCTAGCTACCGGTACACTTTGCGTGCTAGTTCCCAGTTTCGCCCCCTTCTTTTTCTCCTTCAGGAGCACGGTCCGATGGCCATTAGTATCGACTAGTTTGCTTTCCCACTCAGATCCTGCCGGGACTGGTCTCTTATTCTCCGGAAATCCAATAACAACCCAGAGCTTTGCTTTCATGCTAACCATGCTACATTTTATAACATCGCCCACTTGGAGTGCCAGCCGTCGGACATGGCATCTGTCAGTCAGGACTTCAGTCCCATCATCAAATATGACTCTAAGATGTGATCTAGCAACACTGGGGCTTGGAAGAGCTGTGGCTGGGTGGTAGTACAACTCCTTGTCTTTGAAAAGGGCGAATACGCGATGCGCGGCGTGGTTTTCAGAAGCCTCAGGAGCTAGGATCACAGGTGTGACCGTTGTAGTTGAGGTCGTCAAACGTGACGGCCAAGCCTTCTTCAATGAAGAGACATTTGTTACCTTGTTCTTCTTGACAGTCGATGTTGTTGCTTTTGATTTAACATTCCCGGCGTTATCTGCTCCAAATTCTGAGCTTTTAGGATTTTTCCTATTCTCCTTGTAGTCTGGAGTTTGGAGTTCGGGATCAGGTCTCTCAGTCCTGAGTCTCTTCCTCGGATTCGAATCTAGTGAGTTTGCTCGAGGCCAAGCCCCGTCAGGTTCCGTTCCTGTTGCAGTCTGTGCTTCGCCCATAGTCGTGTCTCCCTCTCTATCTGTGACTGGGGCCTGATCCTCCAGTGGTAAGGAGCTTGGTACAACGCTTACTCTGCGTGATTCCTGGGTGGGAGGCTTCGAATGCATGACATCCCTATTCCGCTTACTAGGTAATGCACCTTTTGCAGGTGCAGCTCTGGCAGTCTTATCACTATCTATGTCCGTCTCAGCAACCCCTGCGCTCTCAGTCTGCACTCTAAAAAATGGCGGACGTCGAACTGGTGTAACCATACTCCCACCCGCAATCGGACTCGTTTCTGGAATAGTGCCTGTTCTATCCAAACCCGCTGTCTTACGAACCTGTGGGGTACATAATTGTGGCTGTGACGCAGCCACTTCCACTCCACCTCGCGAATCATATTCCCCAGGTGGGGGGCTCATCTGAACCTGGGTTGTCGTAGCATTCCCCAGTGAGAATGGAGGCGGGCTCGATTTTGCCAGTAAACTATCGTATGTCCCCATTGCAGGTGGCATTGGGAGGGAGCTTGATCCCTGGTATATTTTTTCAAAAGGGATAGGGGAAAATGTAGATTTCTCAATTAACAATGGGGGTACCTTGGGTATATTAAAAGGAGGCATATTTTTTATAGAGGACTTCGCTGTCTTTAGTTGCGGGGGAGGAACTGAGAGAACCTCATTTGCTAGTGCATCAGATGTGGGGACCCCAGAACTTCGTTTTCTTCGGAGGAATGAGCCATGTCTTTCTGGTGGTGGACATGGGACGTCATGCATGGATTCCCAATCCAAGGGCCCGAAAGGCTCAGGAGGTTTGGCAGTAGTAGTCGCTTCATTTGACGGTTTCAGTGCCTGAATACTGGTATTTCGTTTGGAGATCTTTTGCGCTTCTGAAGTTTGTCGCGAGGAATTACATGGTAGTGGTGGGGAGTCCTCATCATCAGTAGTTGTATCATCACCTGTTAGTGCTAAGATGTTTCTGTTCCTCATCCGTTTCTCCGCGATGACCTGTGCCCTTTCCTCTGCATTTTTCTGACTAGGTGTCTGCTTTTTCTTTTTACTAATACCGACCCTCCGACCTGCCCGAACATTTGCCTCCTTGCTCTCTCCGGTAATGTTCTTTAGCGCCTGTTCAGGGCTTCTATTCCGTTTCTTCCCAGTGGCTTGCATTCCACTCCTTTTTGCGGCTCTAGACGCTTTCATAGTGTCGAAACTCCTGTTGGCCTCCTCCTCACTCTTCCGTTTCGCATGAACAGCCCTGCGGATCCTCCGGTTGATGACTTCATCATCAAAAATTATATTTAGCTCTTCATCGTCACTGCAGCTTGCGGGTTGTGACGAAACCCTTCGCTTCCTCCCTTTTCCTATCCGCCTCTCTCGTGCCTCCTGTGATTCGGCAATCGAGTAGTAAACGTCCTCTTGTGGAGCGGGTATCTTCGTAGGTGCATGCGTCTGGGCCGATGGCTTCTCTCGTGAAGCTCTCGATGGGCTGGTCGCGGCCATAGGCTCTGGTAGAGTAATAGCTTCAACAAATCTGGCTGGCTGAAGAGGGGAATCTTGAGTGTTATTGAATAGCTGAGTCAATCCCATAGGAACCTTTCCCCTCATGGCACTTGTCAACTCAGCCAAAGGTCTTATTGGTTTGGCCGGTGTTTGCGTTTTCTCCGGCGATCCAAACCGACGGCTTTCATCAAAGTAATTTGTCCTCTCCTGGGATTCAAGCTCCGCCACCAAGGCATCCAGCCCTGCGGAGGCTGGGCGGTTGACAATCGCAGGCACATTGCTCCATGGTGACCCACGCACCCCCTGGCGTTGTGACTGTGAATTTCCGTCTACCGAAGTGTCTGGGTCTTTCTGAGTATCTCCAGCATAACTCTGGGAACCAGAGTACAGTAATTTTAAGGTCTCTAAATTGTCGACACCGATCCCAGCGGTGTGGTTAGAGGGTACACTCGGGACTGGAGAGGTTGCTTTTGGAGGCGAAGAAGAAATCACTTGTGTAGGTAGTATATTGTCATCCGCAGGATCATCTGCAAGCTAAAGCCGGCTTCAGTATGATTCTTCTTAGATAAATCAACTGCAGGGAGTTCAGTTCTCACAGTAAAAACACTCCGTAGCTCTTGAAAGTCGAGGGACTCAGTATTCGCGGCCATGAGCACCCTGGAACGATGAAAAGAAGCTGGAGGGTGGGGGCACGACAGGTTAGGAAATCTGCTACACGAGCAGAAAACCACAAGGCTAGTTCGATTCAACGACGCGAAACCGGGATTACACAAAATACAGCCCGGGATGTGGTGAATCTACTGAGGAAACCTCGCGATACAACAGTTGGGATGCCAGCAGATGTTGAGGCTTGGCACATGCTGT